TGTCTCTCTGTCTCTCTGTCTCTCTGTCTCTCTGTCTCTCTCTCTGTCTCTCTCTCTCTCTCTCTCTCTCTCTCTCTCTTATTCTGTTCAGTTATCGATTGGACAGTCACCAGGCGAGGAAGAGTGAGAAAGGGGGTTCGGCGGAGCGGTGGAATGCGGGAGATATATGAACTATAGAGTTATAGATCTGCACATAAATACATGTACCATGATTATCTTTATTGCTCACGAAAACTTGTATAACGAGCTGATGGCTAATGCTGAGGAGGCCGATGCATGCCCAGATCTATAATATTTTAATAGTTTATTACGTAACTGGAAAGATGTTAGCACTGGATAACAGTGTGTGAAAGACAGCAGAATCGTTGAAAAACGACCCCAAAATATTGATGGTTCATGAAACGATTCTGCTTAATAAAGAGATAGTGGGCCTACTTGTATATTTAAAATACATAACTACTACCTGCGAACAGAAACAATTATCGGGGGCAGGGTAACATGTCTTCACGAGTCCTTAAACGATTGCCGTACTCAAAAGATGGTTATTGCAAATGATTACAAACTCTGCTAGGTTGTTCTTAAAGACAGGCCATTTATCCATCTTCATCTTTGTTCTGAGCTGGTTTAATGGACAACGCCTAGCGACTCATAAGTCCAACCTCAACACGTCGGGTACTGAGACAGCCAGAATGTTTGTCGTCACGTCGACTGTCAACTTTACCCACGACCAGTCATCCAAAGAGTCCTTTGTTCCCGTGACGTCATCACCTGTGAGATATTTCGTCATCATTGACTTACTTCTCATCATCAAAATAATCCGCGCCGTCTCTTTCTCCATCACCACTTTCGGTATCCTCAGCAACATCTGGAACATCATCGTCTTTGTGGGACTCGGCGTGCTAGAAACGGCCACGTCCCTCACACTGTTCGCTCTATCCATCTCCGATCTTCTCTTCCTGCTTATTCTGTTCGCGTACTGGACACTCCAGTTTCTCGCCAACCTCGGCGTTTCCCAGACTGCCGGGGGAATCCCGATGACATATTTAGCGTACCAGTTCTTGTACTATTTCCGAATGGTGTACACGTTATCGGAACTGTTCACTGTTTATCTCGCCGTGCAGAAATGTTGCTGTGTGGCTTTACCTTTTCACTTCAAACTGATCTTCACTCCCGCCAAAGCCCTGGCAACCTTGCTCATTATAGTGATCGTTGTCTTTGCCTGTTATGCTCCTCTTTTCTTTACTATGGGGATACAGCAGATTGAGGATTTGACCCAGAACACCACACGATATACTCTTTGGTTTTCAGAAGACAGAGAAGTGATCACAAAAATCTTTCATAACATTATGGACCTTCTGGTCCCCACAGCGGGGCAAGCCATAGTCGCAGTTTGTTTAGTTGTCTTAACTCGAAAACTTCGAGAAACCACCAAGTTCCGGCAAGCTTCCGAGAAACCCGAGTCAAAGGATGACGGATCAAAGGTAGATGGGTCAAAGGTGAAAGGATCAAAGGTCAAGGACTCGAGCAAACTGTCGGGGAAGGAGTTACGTGCAGTGCAGTCTGTGGTCGTTCTTGTGGTCATGTTCATCGTCTGCAACATGCCCACAGTACTCACGCAGTACGCCACTTATATCGAGCCGGAGTTTTACGACTTCCGGAGATACAGCGCCATCTACGCTCTCGTAGGTCAGGCCAGAATGTTCCTTATGGTGTGCTGCTCTTCTTTCAACATCTTCGTTTACTTCACGTTCAACACCAGCTACAGACAGCAGGCCATACGGCGTCGCCCTTCACCCACGTGAATGGAGAGATCGTCATACAAGTCGCAGGGAGAAAAAAAATGTTTAAACTTTACAGTCCCCTCCCCCCT